TGATAGTGTACTTGTAATAGCGGGAGTTATTGCCTTATTGGTGATAGAGAATATATAATTCATAACTTGCGAGTCTTGAATATTTTATATATTGATTCATTATCTAAGTTCTGTGTATTTCAAATGGTTGATTGTAACCTAAAACTAAAAATAAAATAATAGGAAACTTGTGCTTTATAGGGCGGCAAATAGATCGAAATATTAAAATAGAAAGACAACAAATACTTTGAAAGATTTTTAACTCTCAATTCACATAAAAAATTCCAACTTAAAAAAGAAAAATTAGTTAAAAAAATAAAGAAAAAACCAGTCCAACAGTACCATTGAGAAAACGAAAAAAAAAAGAAAAAGAAATTATATTGGTTTGAAGTAGAAGTTGTTGTATTAGTTCGGGAGTCCAAATATTGTTCCAATTACATTACACTCAAATATTTTTTTCAATTGGATTGTATATTCAAAGAACTGATACGTTGAAAGGTAAAGAACTGTGCTAAAAAATTGTAACTATTAAATTCTTTTTGTTTGTTTGTCATTCTTTCTTTTCTAAAAAAAATGTTTTATTGTTAACAATACCCATTATAATTACATACATTATGTACAGAATCATTATACTCTCATTCATATATATATATATATATATATATAATTTATATTTTAAAAGTAAAAATTTACCTTTAAAGAAGAGTTTAAAGAATAAGGCGAAGAAAAGAGAATGAATTTAAAGAGTTTAAAAATTGTTGTCTTGAATAATGAAACACCATTAAAAGTCAACAAAAAATTCAATTGTTAATTACAGGGTTAACATGGTATTAGTGTTGTCTTTGAGACTAAAATAGTTTGGCAACTCAAACTGCGATATATAAATCTGTAATAAAATAGTTAGATATTTAAATGGTTAAAAATGAATTATTTGTAGATTTAAGCAAATAAGCAAGTAAAAACGAAGTTTATCATGCACCACATATCCATAAAACTAAGCAAAATACATTCAGATAAATATTTGTGAAATTGTAGATTAAATTCAAAGTTTCCATGTTTTGCAGATAAGATTGGTCAAGTGTCATCATGTTCTGTTCATGATCAAACATGTTGATGGGAAATTTTAATAGATGTGTTAGTAAAGTTAGTCCCGAGACAAAATCAATTAAGAATATGTGTGAAAATATTATTTACAATTTTGATATTGAATCATGGATCTACTGTAGAAAGAATATTTTTCGATGTAACATCAGCATATAAGAAGGTTATTTTTTTATGTACTATCCAATTTTTTTTTTTTAAATAGAAATATTATATAAATTTTGCGATCGAAATCAGTGGTAACCAGATTTACAATCGAAATTGAACCAAAAGTAAAAAACAAAACCATTCTCAAAGCTTTATCGTCGATCTGGTCAACGGCGGAAACCAAAAACGGTTGGCTCGCTCAAGGCCAACAAACTCCCTTCGCCACCACCGGAAACCACCTGAGTCGCTTAGGTCGAAGCACCAACCACGGCTAAACCACCATCGACTTGCAGTGCTCTCCCTCCGAATCACCTCATTGATTTCCACCATGAAACCGCATCTCGGCGCAGCCTCAGCGAGACTCATTTCCTACAATCTCCCACCACCGTCCACTAGTGTTGGGATCAGTTTCCACCCCCAATAAGTTTATCTACCTCTAAAAAGACTAAGTGTTTGAGATATTATGTCTAGCTATGTTTGATCCGAGCTTGTCTCCCTTTTTGATGGGCCGAACCCTGTTGAGGTGTAAGTTCGGCCGAGCCGCGAGAAAGAGCAAATAGGCCGAGCCCTGTTAAGGTGTGAGTTGAGCCGAGCCGCGTGATAGAGCAAGTGGGCCGAGCTGAAAAGGAAATGGAAGGCGAGCTGCATCGCAAGACATGTGGGCCGAGCTGATTGATGTTCAATGGCTAGCAGGCCCAACCGCAGAGGATAAAGCCCGTGCAAAAACCTTAGGCAAAATGTTAAGGCGGCGGCCGCGCAAGGCAATAAGGAAATATTCCGAAAATCTTTCCCGAGATTCTCGGCTAGGCGGTTCATAGACTCTGTATAAATAGTGGACACAGACAATTCATTATGTAACTTTTGCAACCCAAAGAAATAAGACTAAACACATTTCAAAGCAATAAAATCCTTCTTTCGACCTTACTGTTCTTACGGTAAACCCTAGAAATTTTGGATTCCTTAATTTTTCCTTAACAAATTTTTGGTTGTGTGAGATTTGGCTCACACAATTTGGCGCCGTTTGTGGGGACTCAAAATTTTCTTACTCAATACTGTCAAGAGCTTGAGATCCAAAGAACATGATGACCGAAGCACTCGGAGACGACAACAGCAACGACCACAACATGGAGAAGGATGCTCCACCAGCGGAGGCGATGACAACCACTGAAACTCAGGACGAGATGAGGAGCATGCTGTCCACCCTGATGAAGAAGATCGAGTAGCAAGACAAGAGAAACAAAGCGATCATGGAACGGCTCGATACGATGGCAACTGAAAGGAGACACCCGACTTGGAGAGCCAGAATCTCCGACCCGGCGACTTGGTGCGCCAAGAAGAATGACCTGCGCTCAAACTCAGGAGATGGAAGAACTCCGAGCCTCTATGGATCGGACAGTCGCTGAGATCCGAGCCATAAAATCCCAAGTACACAACGCAATAAGCGCTGCACCGGAGATTGATCGAATGCTCGAAGAAACTCAAAAAACGCCGTTCATGGCTAGTATCACGGAGGCTAGGATTCCCGAGCCGGGAAAGGTCAGAATCCCATTTTACGAAGGAACTACAGATCCAAAAATACACATCACAGCCTTCCGCATAGCAATAGGGCAGGCCTTCACAAGGAATGCGGCCAATTTGAAAGAGCAGGAGAGGAACAGTGAGGAGAAGCCTCTAAAAAAATCTAAGGTACTGTTTAAAGCGGCTAGGGCGAACGAGAGAGAGAGTCGTGGAACGATTTTCCTTTTTTATTGATTAGTGTTTATCTGTGGAATTATCTCCGAGTTTTATTTATTACTTCAATTAGATGTTAATGCTTATAGGAAATTAATTTATTGTTGGTTAATTAACTTAGTTTGCTGTGTGTGCTCTTTCAAAATGGTGAAGAAGAAAATGATCCAGATTTGTAAATATACTATTTTTTTTCATGTACGAGTATGCCCGACGATACCAAGTGGAGCTTTGATAAAAGGAAAGGACCCGAATTTTGAAAAATAACCTTTTGAGGATAATGGATGAGAAAACTTTTCTTACTCCAATTTTCAATTTCTATGTAACAGGAATGATTGAAATTTATTACTATTAAGTATTAACTAATTTGTCAGGTTAAAAATATATTTTAATAAAAGAAACCTACGTGTATATACAGATATTCATCTAGTCACGTTTAAAAGACAGGTAAGACAGGTAAGATTAATAAACGATCTTTTGGATCATCACGTTCAAAAGATCGTTGCATAGGATAGAAAAAAACCAAATCACATGTCAGCATATGATGAGGCCATTCAAGCTGAACCAGACTTAACCGAGCCGCAACTACAAGATGTGGAAGTACCAATCATTCATCAAGGGCCAATAACAAGACAAAGAGCAAAGGTCCTTCAGCACAAGTACAACCAAAGCATGTTACAAGCCATATCTCAAGTGGATCAAACAAGGCCGCAAGAAGACCAAGAAAATGAGCCGCATAATGAAGCCCATCAATAACAAGCTTGGACTGGATTACTTGAAGAATGCCAAGAGCTAGCAAATGGCCCAGCTTCAAAGAATCAAGATGTCTGGCCCCTTTTGCCAAATCAAGCCCAAGTCTTCATGCTGACCATCTCGCCAATGCACCAAGACACTTAGGAGGGAAGATTCAAACTCGGTCAAAGCCACACATGTCTCAGCCACCAAATAAGGTAAGTGTTCAATCAAATTTCAATTCTTTGACTAATGAGTTTCTCTTGTATTTGGTCTTATGCAGAGATAATTTAGTTAGTCTTTTATTTCCTTTTTTTTGAGTCCTGTTGTTTTTATTCTTTCCTTTTAAAAGTCTTGTTGTTTTGAGTCTTTTTATTTATTTGAGTCTAAGCTGCTAGAACCATTATATAAGGTCCCATTATAGCCTTGTAATTTTTTCACCTTTGATATCAATAAAAATCAAACTTTCTTCAAACCAGTTTTCTTTGAGAGAAACTTGTTTAACCCTTTGCTCTAGTTGAGACCAGTACCTCCTAGATCAAAGTTCTCGTGTTTTATCACAAGTCTTACACAACTTGTGTGGTGCACATCGATCCACCTTTGTCACTTAGCCATTTACATCGATCCAATTGTCTAGAGTTGCTCATTCACTTGGATCACCCCTTGGCCACCGATCAAAGCTTTGCTTCCGAGATAATATAAGCCCTTGACAGCTTGGTGCTTGTATCATTTTTGGTATCAGAGCTGAAGTTCCTTCAGCCCAGGTTTTATTTATCTATTTACATCTTTTCATTTCTATTTAATCATTTGCTTCTTGTCATATTCATTTTGTTAAAAAAAAAAAATCATATTTCATTATCGTTTCATCCAGTTTCATTTGTCATATTCATTCTGTTAAAAAAAAAAAAGAACTCATCATAACATCTCATTCTCGTTGCACTTAGCTTCATTATTCATCACAAATCATTGTTCATTGTTCTAAGTTTCTGCATCAAAGAAAAGTCAAAAAAAAATAGTCCTGAATTGTTGTGTCGATTTCCAAGTTTAGGTGCATCAAGTCAGACTTTCCTTATTTATTTCAATCACGTTTAAATTCATTCTCTTGCTAAGTTTTAAATTATTTAGACAGCACCAATTTCCTTATTTGTTTAGTTGTCATTCCAAGTTAACAAAAAAAAAAGAAGAGAAAAGCATATTTACATTTTTTAGAATTTCCAAACTTACCATATTTGTGTCTCCTTATTTCTTGATCGAGACTAAACACTTTTTCTCTTGTGTTTTTGTTTTGCGAGAAAAAAATTCCATAAGCAACTATGGGAGAGGAGAGCAGCAATGCACAAGACCCTCTTCACCAATTAATAATCTCCATGAGAGACGAGATCAAAGCATTGAGGCAAGACTTTGGAGATAGACTTAGCCGTGTGGAGCAAGCACCGAGGGTAACTCTACAACCAACTCGCCATATTGGAGGATTAGGAACCGGCCCCAACACCACTCAGAACACCGGAACCAATCCAAGGCACAACGGAGTGCGCATCAACGAACCACACATGACCGAAGACGACTCTTCTCAAGATGAAGAACCAAACCCTAGGCGTCAAAGACACTGCGGGCAAAGGCAACATGTGCCACAAGACGATTATGGAGATGCTGATGACGAAGAGTATACACCTTACTCTAGACAGAACCAGAACCACATCAAGCTGACCGCACCTAATTTTGCTGGAAAAGTTGATCCGGAGGCTTATCTAGATTGGGAGAAGAGGATGGATCACATCTTCGACTATTACAATCAACCTGGTCCAAAGAGAGTAGCACTAGCAGTGGCTCAGCTCACCGATGGTGCACTTACATGGTGGGAAAGAGAAGTATCAGACCGAAAGAGAAGCCGCTTGAGAGCTATTGATACATGGGTCGACATAAAAGACCTAATGAGGCAAAGGTATGTCCCTCCTCATTTTTACCGAGACTTACAGCGTCGTTTTCGAACTCTTAAACAGGGAACCAGGACCGTAGAAGAATACTATGAGGAGTTTGAGCGCTTGAGGAACCGATTGGAGCTCAATGATGATGAAGAAGCTCTAATGGCGCAATTCCTTGATGGCTTACAAGAGAGGATCAGCCGCAAAGTGGAGAGACAGGTATATCAAGACTTCAAAGATCTTTTCCATTTGTCTATACAGGCAGAACAACACATCAGAAGATCTCCAATACTAGAAGCAAGCCGCAAACCACTTGGAACACCAAATTCAACAAAGCACTCGACAAAGGCAAGAGTGTGGAAATTGATTCACGTTTCAAAGGCAAGGCGGTTGAAACAAGCAAAGACACCAGACCAGAGGCAGGTAAGACTAATAACCCTCAGCGTGAAAGAGATATTACTTGTTTCAAATGCAGGGGAAGAGGTCATATGTCTCGCGAGTGTCCAAACAATCGAGTGATGCTCATGACCGAGGCTGGGGACTATGAGTCACATGATGAAGCTGATGTTCAAGAAGATCAAGACGATGAGTATGGTGACATAGCTTATCCAGACACAGGAGAGCTCCTTGTCACTAGACGTGTATTAAGTGTAATGGTGAAGCCAGCCGAGACCATACAAAGAGAGAACATCTTTCACAGCCGTTGCACTATAAAGGGGAAGGTATGTAATCTTATTTTTGATGGTGGGTCTTGTACTAATGTTGCAAGTGCTCACATGGTTGATAAGCTAGGCCTTGAGAGAACTAAGCATCCACGGCCATATAGGCTGAGATGGCTCGATGATAAGGTAGAGCTTAAGATTACCGATCAAGTCACCATTCCATTTAGCATAGGAAAATATCAAGATCAAGTTGTATGCGATGTAGTTCCTATGCAAGCTGGTCATTTATTGTTAGGTAGGCCATGGCAATTTGATAGAGAAACTAAGCATGATGGTAGGACTAATATGTATACTCTTATGCATAACAAAAGAAAAGTTAGTTTAGCACCTCTTACACCATCACAAGTGCATGAACTACAAATGCAAATGCTTAAAGAAAAAGAAAGTATCTCTAAGTCAAATTTTCTTGTTCAGCCTAGCTATGTTAGAAAAGTTTTTGCTGCTAAACACACAATGCTACTAATGATCTTTAAGGAGCTTTTGAGCGCAGGTTTAGGTGGACTTGAACTACCACCAGAGATCACTGATTTACTTGACAGGTTTAAAGATGTGTTCCCTGAAGAAATGCCTGAAGGATTGCCACCAATTCGAGGCATAGAGCACCAAATAGACTTCATACCGGGAGCAGCTTTACCAAACAAACCGGCTTACCGAATGAGCCCTGAGGAGTCCAAGGAGTTGGAGAGGCAAGTCAAGGAGCTGTTAGACAAAGGATATGTGAGGGAGAGCCTCAGCCCTTGTGCCGTTCCTGTCCTGTTGGTGCCAAAGAAAGATGGCTCCTGGCGCATGTGTGTAGATTGCCGAGCTATCAACAACATCACCATCAAGTATAGACACCCAATTCCAAGACTCGATGACATGCTTGATGAGCTTAGTGGAGCCACCTTGTTCTCAAAGATCGATCTCAAGAGTGGATACCATCAAGTGAGGATGAAAGAAGGTGATGAATGGAAGACTGCCTTCAAGACCAAGCAAGGTCACTATGAGTGGATGGTGATGCCCTTCGGCCTCACCAATGCACCAAGTACCTTTATGCGTCTAATGAATCAAGTTCTTAGAGCATACATCAGTAAGTTTGTTGTTGTTTATTTTGATGATATTTTAGTTTACAGCAAATGTTTATCTGATCATGTGTCACATCTTGAGCTTGTTTTAAAGACTCTTCGACAAGAAGGCCTTTATGCAAACTTAAAGAAGTGCGCATTCTGCACTGATAAGTTGGTTTTCCTAGGTTTTGTTGTGAGCTCGCAGGGATTACAGGTTGATGAGGAGAAGATAAAAGCCATCAAAGACTGGCCGGCCCCAACAAATATCAGCCAAGTGAGGAGCTTCCATGGGTTAGCAAGCTTCTATCGGCGTTTTGTCAAGGTTATCAGTAGTATAGCCGCACCTCTCACTGCTGTGGTGAAGAAAAGTGTTGGTTTTACATGGGGAGAAGCTCAACAAAAGGCGTTTGATACTCTCAAGGAGAAGCTTACCAATGCACCGGTTCTTGTGCTACCCGACTTCAACAAAACGTTTGAAGTGGAGTGCGATGCATCAGGCATTGGCATAGGAGCTGTACTGACACAAGGAGGAAAACCAGTGGCGTTTTTCAGTGAGAAGCTAGGAGGAGCTACGGTCAACTATCCGACGTTGACAAAGAGTTATATGCTCTGGTTAGAGCTTTGGAGACTTGGCAGCATTATCTGATGTCAAGAGAGTTTGTGGTCCACACTGACCATGAAACACTTAAGCACCTTCGAGGACAAACCCATCTCAAGAGGAGACATGCCAGGTGGATGGAGTTCATTGAGACTTTCCCCTACATTATCAAGTACAAGAAGGGCAAAGACAATATAGTGGCAGATGCTTTATCTCGAAGACATGCACTCATCGCAACTATGGAGGCCAAAGTTATGGGGTTTGAGTTCATCAAAGACCTTTACAAAGAAGATCCAGAGCTAGGAGAGAGCTTTGAGGAGTGTAACAGGGGAACTCATGGCAAGTTCTACATCTATGAAGGCTTTATGTTTCGAGACAAGAGACTTTGTATACCGCAATGTTCTCTTAGGGATCTTATTGTCCGAGAAGCTCATGGAGGAGGACTGATGGGTCACTTTGGAGTAGACAAGGCACTTGCAGTGGTGAAAGAACACTTCTATTGGCCTCACCTCAAAAAGGCTGTAGAAGCTCATTGTGCACGATGCGTGATATGCAAGAAGGCCAAGTCTAGAGTATACCCTCACGGCTTGTACTTGCCATTACCGATTCCTACAGCGCCATGGGTTGATATTTCGATGGATTTTGTGCTGGGGTTGCCAAAGATCAAGCACAAAGACTCTATATTTGTGGTGGTGGACAGATTCTCCAAGATGGCACATTTTATACCTTGTGCAAAGGTTAATGATGCATCTCAAACGGCAGATCTATTCTTCAAGGAGGTTGTGCGTTTACATGGAGTGCCAAGAACCATTGTATCTGACCGAGATAGCAAGTTCTTGAGCCACTTTTGGAGAACCTTGTGGAAGAAGCTTGGCACTAAACTTTTGTTCTCTACTACTTGTCATCCCCAAACAGATGGCCAAACTGAGGTGGTGAACAGAACTTTATCTACATTGTTAAGGGCCACTCTTGGAAGAAACATGAAGAACTGGTTGGAGTGCATACCCTTCATCGAATTCGCCTACAACAGAGCTCAGCATTCAGCTACAAAGATGTCTCCATTCGAAATAGTCTATGGATTCAACCCCAAGACCCCAATGGAATTCACACCACTACCACCAGCTGAAGCCGTGAGCTTAGATGGAGAAAGAAGAGCTGATTTTATAAAGAAACTACATTAAAAGGAAAAGGAGAATTTGGAGAAGAGAACTGAGCAATATGTGAAGCATGCCAACAAAGGACGCAAGGAAGTGGTGTTCGAACCAGGAGATTGGGTATGGCTACACATGAGGCATGAGAGATTCCCAAACCAAAGGAGTTCAAAGCTAGCACCAAGAGGAGATGGACCTTTCAAGATACTAGAGAAGATCAACAACAACGCATACAGACTTGAATTACCAGGTGAGTTTAATGTGTCCTCAACTTTCAATGTAACTGATCTTGCTCCATATCTTGCAGATGATCCAGTTTTGAGGTCAAAACCTCTTGAAGAGGGAGGGAATGATGAGGCCATTCAAGCTGAACCAGACTTAACCGAGCCGCAACTACAAGATGTGGAAGTACCAATCATTCATCAAGGGCCAATAACAAGACAAAGAGCAAAGGTCCTTCAGCACAAGTACAACCAAAGCATGTTACAAGCCATATCTCAAGTGGATCAAACAAGGTCGCAAGAAGACCAAGAAAATGAGCCGCATAATGAAGCCCATCAACAACAAGCTTGGACTGGATTACTTGAAGAATGCCAAGAGCTAGCAAACGGCCCAGCTTCAAAGAATCAAGATGTCTGGCCTCTTTTGCCAAATCAAGCCCAAGTCTTCATGCTGACCATCTCGCCAATGCACCAAGACACTTAGGAGGGAAGATTCAAACTCGGTCAAAGCCACACATGTCTCAGCCACCAAATAAGGTAAGTGTTCAATCAAATTTCAATTCTTTGACTAATGAGTTTCTCTTGTCTTTGGTTTTATGCAGAGATGATTTAGTTAGTCTTTAATTTCCTTTTTTTTGAGTCCTTTAATTTAGCATTTTTAATTTACAAGTCCTGTTGTTTTGAGTCTTTACTTTTAAAAGTCCTGTTGTTTTGAGTCTTTTTATTTCTTTGAGTCTAAGCTGCTAGGACCATTATATAAGGTCCCATTACAGCCTTGTAATTTTTTCACCTTTGATATCAATAAAAATCAAACTTTCTTCAAACCAGTTTTCGTTGAGAGAAACTTGTTTAACCCTTTGCTCTAGTTGAGACCAGTACCTCCTAGATCAAAGTTCTCGTGTTTTATCACAAGTCTTACACAATTTGTGTGGTGCACATCGATCCACCTTTGTCACTTAGCCATTTACATCGATCCAATTGTCTAGAGTTGCTCATTCACTTGGATCACCCCTTGGCCACCGATCAAAGCTTTGCTTCCGAGATAATATAAGCCCTTGACAGTTTGGTGCTTGTATCAGCATATAAGTACATATAGAATCGATGTGAATGCAACACATCAGATTTATGACTTTATGAATAATAATATAGATAGATGGATAAATTGTTTTTACATGATTACTTGTTTGATTTGATAACTTATTTAGACTTTCGTTATTTTTATTTTTGATAACATGTAATGTGATAAAATAGACGTTTGTATTTGTTTCTTAAGATTAGTGCAAATGAGACTACAATACAGAAAGAGACACACTGATCAAACTACGGTATCACCAAATATTGGACGCTTTTCCATAATAGTTTGTTATATAGGATATTTTATATTTTTGCTATGTAGATGGTTTATAGAAATATATCATTTTTTCCTCAATATTAGATTGGTGGTGCTTTTGAGAATAGTAGAAGATGCAGAAGTACTAATGGAGGCAAGAAATCTACGATGAAGTCTTTTTCTTTTACATGGCGAAATAAAGCACTATATGGCAATGCATTATATGATCGCAAATAAAACGACGACAATAACGTTTTTTAATATATGTTTTAAGGTGGTGGATATGGTGTAAACACCAGAGAAATGCCTTACTTTTGTAACATATTTTGAAGAATTTATAAAGAGTAAAGAGCTATTTTTTTTATCTCGCATATTCAACGCATAAAAAAACACAAAGATAGACAAATTACCAATAGTGCTTATTTAAGGCCTTTTCATATTGTATATATAAACTTGGTCTGCGATTTAGCTTTCTGAACCATTAAACTATTAAATTAATTAGAAACTGATAAAATAAAATCATAAAAGATTTTATTACGTCTTATTGAATATACGTTTTTCTGTCTTACGTACTGCCAATTAGCTAAATCTTGTGATCTTACACATGAAGCAGTACCTTAACAGAACACATCTTTAATAAATACAATAAAATATGATCCAATAAAGTGTAACAGATAATGGGGAGAAAGTAAGTGGCATACTGAACACATGAAAAATAATTACAAATAAAGCTGTAAGGCACTTTCGTTCGATAATGGAAGTAAAATGAATGAACTTGTAATAATGGAGAAGAAACGAATATATTAGTGAACTTAAGTGGATATGCACATTTCTGATATTATCTATGGAGTATGGGTTCACCTGTGAATTTGTTTCTAAATTGTTTTTCTATGGCAGTTTTTTTCTTTATTAAAAAAAAACAAATTACATAAACTTAATCCATGACACATAAACAATCTATGAAAGATTAGATAAAATGGTTTATAAAATAAAAGATACATACTATTTTATTTGATGGCACCCTTGTTAAGTTTTCTTTAATTTTTTTTTATTGTTTATTAGGAGTGCTGAGGGGTTCGTCCTAGGCTTTAATCCCTTCATAGTCATGGACCATCTTTTACTAATGCTTTATGATATGGGATAAAGTTTTTTTCCCATCGAAAATTGAACTAGGAGCATATGGTAGCAGCCATTATATATAACCACTAGCCCACTTCATACAATGGTTTTATTTATTTATTTATTTATTTATCGATAGCGTAAATACTTAGAACGGTTTGATTATCCAAAACGGAAGTATCGAGATTACGTAAATAACATCTTGTGGATGGACACGAGCACTTCTTGCTAGAGTGTCTGCCTTCAAATTCTTCACGCGAGGGATATCACTTATGTGATATAATAAAGGAATTGAATGTGTTCTTCATTTTCACGATTTCATATAAATGTTAAGCAAATGGTGGCCATGCTTCAGGTATAGACACCATCTTCACCAACTCCAAACAATCTGTTGCAAAAGTTATAACCGTCTTCTGATTTCCTATCATGCAGTGCATAGCCCCAGATGAGGGCTTTTATCTCCGCATGCAGAGATGAAAAACTCCACCTTACGTACATTTTGTGCTTCCATTATTATATCTATAGTGCCTTCTTTGAAATAGTACCAGTTTAATCCGGTTTTGGAATCTGTATCTTTTCATGAACCATCGATATAACACTACCAGCCTTCATAACTCGTAAATGTTGAGTAGACCATTGGGTTTCCATTATTTATGGGTTTTACCTGCTGTTCAGATCTTTGCGCCTCTTCCCATACTGCCGCTTCTATCACTGCTATTCTCAAAGTAATTTGAGGGTCTATGTCAATATTTGAATACACCTTCTCATTCTTGCCTTCCAGATATACCATAGGATCCATGAGAATTGACAAATATTATTACCAATTTTCAGGCCGATTCGAGTCGATTTTTCTGTATGTTTCTCTCTTAAGCCAGAACAGGTCGGATCTGCCTCCTTGAGGGCTACAATGGCTTCTCCTTTAAGGTGCCTTGCAACAAGATAGCTCTCTGATCTCTTCTAAGGCGTGACTCCTCTATTTATATAGTGGAGATGAGAGACTTTTAGATTCAGGGTTTTAGAGAAGTAAATAAGAAAGTTGAGCTTGAGAGTTTTTCTGATGGGGTTTGAGTAATCGGGCTGAAAAGAAAAAAGAAATTAGGCCAAAATTTTATTTTTGGGATGTCACACATCGGTTATGTATAGTAACAGATAAATCTTAAATTGCAAAGCATATTTTGTTTCTGAAAACTTTTTCGAAATCTTAATATATGTTACGACCAAAAAAGTATATATGTTAGGACAAAATATTTGATACCAAACTAAATGTTTAGTTTTATGAAAAAACTATGATGGAGAACTTATGAGTTGCAGATGTCATATTTATAAGATTTACATTGA